CCGCCCTGACCGGGGCGCGGGGCGTCCGCGCACGCTGCGCCCAGCGCCGCCATGGCGCCTTGACGCGGTCGCGCCCGGCAGGGCTTCCCGGCGCGGCGGGCAGAGGCGGGGCGAGGCGGGGTGGGAAAGCCCCGCTCGCCCCCACGCGGGCCCCGCAGCGCCCGCAGGCAGGCGGCGCTGGGCATCCGGCGCTTTGGCCGCGGCACGGGCGGCTGCACGGACGGGCGCTCGCGCCTTTGTTCCTTTTCTTTAAGCGCCTGCCTCCTTTTCGGGGCAGTTCCTGAATCGGAGTGGCACAGCAGCAGCAGGAGCGATAAAAGCGCGGAGGAGCGACCGGTTCAAAGCCCGCTCGTGCCACGCAGGGAGGCTAGGAGGCTCCTGGGGGTCCTCTTTGAAGCCGCTGGGTCTGGATAAGCTCCTGGGTCATGGGGGCGCTCTGGAGGGCAGAAATGCGGAGTGGCAGCTGGAGCCCAGTGCTGCAAGAGGCATCGTGAGGGTGGCCTAAGGCGTGTGCCTGCCATGTGGTGGTGAAGGCAGGTGTTCCCCCTGCCCTTTGCTGGCATCCTTGAGTGGAGTAGACCCTTCGCTGAACTTTCCCCAGTAGCTTGTGAGTTGGTTTGCTCTGCCCCAGGAAAACGCTGCAATGAGCTTGCGAAAGGCTGGGCGCACTAATGGCCCGCCTTCACACTGGCGTGAATGCTGGCGTGGGCTTGGCGCATCACTTCGTCCTGCCTTGTGGGATCCGTTTCATTGCGTGGAGCTGGAGGATGCCAGCAGGACGCTGGTGCGGCATGGTGTGCTGTCTTGACCTGTGCCCTTCTGGCTTCTTGGAACTCACTGTGCAGGCCTGACGGTTTTTGCTAAAGGCCACTTGGCACAGATGCACACAGAAAGTTCTGTGGGGGGACAATGCAGCAGATTCTGTGTGTTGGGAGCAACATACTGGGGCAGTGTATAGGGATGCCTGACATACCAACCTTGTTGACCTTAAAGCCTTGTCAAGAACCGGGATCAGGACCAGGAGCAGGCTAGTGATAGTCACAGGTGAAAAAGCAGCAGCAGCACATCTGGCTCTTCTACCTTCTGCGCTCTTTCGGTGTGAATGACAAACAAGCGTCAAAGTTCCTGCCCACTTTTGTTCCCAGCAGTCCCGTGCTTCTCCTTCGGCTCTCTGCACAGCTTAGGCGTCGCGAGGTGACATTCCCACGTTACCAGGGCAGTGCAGGCGATAGCCGTGAGGGCGCAGTGGTCAGGGGGCTTTGGGGCTTTCAGTACAACTTAGCCGCCCATGGGATTGTTGACGAGCTCTTTCAGACATGCTGTGATCCTTCCTATTAGAAGGGGGAAAGCGCTGTTCCTGCTGGTACATTTGCTGTGCTTGTTGGTAGCGCTGCAACTCCTGGGGGTTACGCAAGGGAAGAGCGCTTTACAGAATTCAGATCTCACTTCTCCTGCCAGCCCAAGAGGAGATGTGGCCATTAATACTTGTGTAGTATCATTGTATTGTATTAGTGTATTGTATTTATTGTA